AAGAATGGACAATATGTCGATGGTGACAGAATTTATTCTTATGGGTTTTGCTGGACCATGGAAGCTTCAGATTTTACAAGATGGGATATTCTTAGTAATATACCTGACAGCCTTGATGGGAAATGGTCTCATTATTACCATAACATCTTTGGACCCATGCCTCCACACACCAATGTACTTCTTCATAAGGAATCTCTCCCTCTTTGATATTTGCCTCATTTCTGCTGTTGTACCCAAAACTATTGTCAACTCCTTGACACACAGCAACTACATCTCTTTCCTTGGATGTGTCATCCAGCTCTTTCTGGTGGCATTTTCAGCAACCACAGAGCTGTTCCTCCTTACAATGATGTCCATTGACCGCTATGCTGCCATCTGTCACCCTCTACACTATGAGGTTATCATGAACAGGGGCACTTGTGTGCAAATGGTGTTTTTCTCTTGCCTCACTGGTGGTTTCTTGTCTATGATACACACAGCAGTCACCTTTACTTTTTCTTATTGTGAAATCATTGAAATTCATCAATTCTTCTGTGATATTCCTCAATTGTTAGCTATTTCATGTTCAAAGAATATATCTGTAGAGATTGCCCTCCTTTTCATTAATATAGTACTAGGATTCTGCTGCTTTATTTGCATCATCATCTCCTACACTTACATCTTCTCCACTGTAAGGAAGATTCCATCCACAGAAGGACGATCAAAAGCTTACTCAACTTGCATCCCACACCTAACAGTCTTTATACTGTTCCTCTCAACTGCCTTTGGTGCTTATCTAAAACCTATTTTAGCATCTGCATCCTTTACTGATCTCATTCTATCTGCGTTCTATATTATGTTGCCCCCATCCCTTAACCCAATTATATATGGTCTGAGAAACAAGGCCATGAAACTTGGTTTACAGAAGCTGACTACAAAATTCTTGCCAAAGGAAAATCTATTTCTTTTCCTTCAATCGTAGATAGAGGTATCCCTCTACTTACTCTCTTATATTGTTGTTAGGTGTTGTCGACTCAGTTCTCACCCATAACAACCCTGTATATTAGTACAGGGTAAATCCAAATTGGACTGGGTTTATACGGGAAGATACCTGGAATGATGGTGCGGAAACTTAATCTTACTAAATTAAAATGTAACCAAGATTGATGAAACTTGTTCTTGGGTCTGACACCTTACAGCTTCTAAACTTTGCTATATAAAAATATGCACATACATGTTTAATCCCTGGTTGCTATTAGGCTGTTTTGGGTTCTGTTTATTGAGCCTGCTCACATATTCTGTTTTAGGCTACTTTACTACTCACTGCCATCTAATCAATTCCAATCCATAGGTATGCTATTATACAGAAAAGGATTGCTCCTTAGGGTTTCTAAGACTGTAAAACAGACAGACACATCTTACTCCCTTAGAGTGGCTATTTGGTTTGAACCACCAAACTGTGGTTAACAGCCCAATGCTTAATCCAGTGCACCACAAACATTTGTGGCTTCTTTAAAGCCATCAAGCACATAGATGTTTTTGTTTGTGATCCTGAGAGGACACATGTTCTATGCAATTGAGTACAGATTTTTCATACTGGATATCCCAGAAGTCACTAATGACTTACAGAGAAATTTTTGCTCATACAGTACTTTAAACTTCACTGCAAGAAACATTCCTAGAGTATATATTGATAGCCTTACTCATACTTTTTCCTATCTGAATCTATACAACTGACATACAAGTTGATAAGACATATAGTTTTATCTAAGCAATATATTCATAGATTTAATTGGAGAAGTAAGAGGAGAGACACCACTTAATGGGATACATAGTATGTTTGGAGACTAATTGTAAATGGAATTGAAAATTTTAAATCTATCCATATGTAATTTTTTTTTTCTTTAAATTGGTAGAAAAGTTTTCTTTTGCTTCATAAATTAATGCTTAAATTTTAATATGAATGTATGTCACCTACAAACATAATGGGGTATAGTATGAATTACACAAAAATGTTGAATATAAAATTAGTTAGAATATGACTTAAGCAGATATTTAGTCAATATGCATTGCTAATATTAATGTCATTTTGACTGAATGATATTGTAATGCATACTAAAATGTTTCCTATAATAAGCTAATATGATAATAAATGATCTGTCCATTCTGTCATTATTCAAATTTATTTGATCACATTCACATGTTTATGTGTTTTAAATTTTATATTACTTTATACTTTTGTGTATTTATGTGGTATTCTTGGGTAGCATAAATGTTTAAGCACTTGACTGCTAATGAAAAACTTGATGGCTAATGTCTAACATGAGGCACCTGTGAAAAAATACCTGGGAATCTTGGTATGACACTCTAGGGAAAGCACTAGACCACAAGGTGACTTTGAACCACAAGGTGGGTGTTTATAGGAAATCCTCATAAAGGGTGCTATGAGTTGGAACTCACTCAGTGATACTCAAAAACAGCATATTTCCAAAAAGCAGTCAATAAAATTACCATGAACAATAGATTCACCATGTTTCGATATCAATTTGCTAGCAGATTTTGTTGTTGTTGTTTTTCATTTGTCTCATGATGACCATAATGAATATGTAGTTAATATAATCATAGACTACTAGTGTGTCACTGTGCATTAATGCCCTTGACTACAAAGTCCGTTTGAAACTGCAAGGTTGGCAGTTCAAGCCCACCAGTGGCTCCTGAGAAACCCTATACAGGGT